ATATTTGCTATTTCATAAAATAACTCTTTTGAGAGAGGAATAAAAACCAACTCTATCAATCAAATTTTAATTCAGTTTATAACAGGTCAGGTTTCACATTTAGTACTAGGAGGAATTCTCACTGGCTTAATATAAGAAGGTTAATTCCTCGCTAATACTCCACGTTCCATGTGGTTTGACAGGATGTTCTGCTTTCCTCAGTCACTGAGGCAGCCAAGCTAACGGAGGCTCCACCATAATTTAGAACATACAGCCTCCTGTCACTTTAGTGGGAGAAAATCCTGAAGAATGTGCATTGAATAAATAAAAAGAAGGGATTTGTGTTACTTCTTTCTCATCCCGGAAGTGCCACACTTCACTCCCTTTATAACTCATTGACCAGAACTATTATCGTGGCCTAATGGTATGCGGGGGCTGGCTCATAATGGCTCATGGAGAGAGAATTATGAAATTCTCTTCCTAGCTCTGTGTTCAGTGACATCACATTGGGAGCTAGAAATTAGCTATAATGGGGGTATTTACACGAAGGAAATTGAAGAATGCCAAAAATTAGGTCTTTCATTTTTGAGAGGAGTTTTTCAACAACACCCCACTGACGTGAGCCCTCCTAACTGAAAGGGTACGTAGAAATGTAGGACGGCAAACAAATAGTTGGAGAATGTTATTGTTTTCTATGCCATGGGGTCCAAATCTACCCAGACATATGTTATCCTAAAATACTATGCAGAGACTGAGGTACAATAGGAAGAGTATTGAATTTGGAATAATTGACATTTAACTTGCTGTCTAAACCAAGGTAAGTAATCAGTTTTTTGAGCTTCTTTTTCTTTATGATGCTATAAAATTATCTCTGGAGGTAATAGGATTATTTTAGCTAACGTGTGAACATACTTAGCATAGTACATCCAGAAAAATTCAATGAATTCTTGATGAATCTGACATTAGCTGGTCTTAGGAGAATCTAAGGAAAAGCGTCAACACCAGGCAGCTGGATAGCTGTAATATCGTTTATTAAATCCGTAATTATTAAATGCCTATTGAGTAACTTTCTGTGGGTGATGAATATGACATGGTTACTGCCCCGAAGGGACTTTGAATATAGGCAGGTGTATAATAAGCCTTCACCTTTAAACTAAGAAGTAGATCCATCTACAATAGAGCTGACCAGAAAGATCTGAGCTGAGATCTCAAAGGAGCAACTATTAGTAGTTTTCCTCTGGAGCTCTCCATGGTGCTTGCTCTGTGGTACTTCAGCCTGGTCTGCTTCTTCACTCCTGGTAGTCTTATTCCAATTCAGAAACTTAGACTCTGGGCCACTCTGCTCCTCCTTTTTTTTTTTTTTTTTTTCACAACTTTGTAGGTCAAGGCTACTTATTTGCAATCTTAGGATGCCAGTATAAATCTAGTATAACCACATCCTTGCCAAACCCTGA